CGGCCAGTGGCTCACTCGGTAGAGTGCGGTGCTGATAACACCAAGGCCACGGGTTCGGATCCTATATAGGGATGGCCGGTTTGCTCACTGGCTGAGCGTGGTGCTGACAACACCAAGCCAAGGGTTGAGATCCCCTTACCGGTCATCTTTTAAAAAAAAAAAAAGAAAGAAAAGGAACAGCTGCACCAGTATGGAGCACAGAGAGGGCAGGGGTTAAGGCTGGAGACAGTTGTCGTGGTCTGTGACAGAAAGAGACACCTGAACTAATGTGCTGGCCCTGAGGAGGTGGGTCTGTTAAAGTATGGGTTCTGAAGTCAGACAGACCTGGGTTGGAATCTTGGTTTGCTTGCTTACTAGCCATGTGACCTTGGGCAAGTGATTTAACTTCTCTGTGCCTCAGGGAGGAGGGGTAAGTCCACTTACTTTATAGAAATATTGGGAAAATAAAATGAGATCGTAAAGTGCCTGGCATATAGAAAGCTCTCAAGTGCTACAATTATTATTATCATCTGGGGAAGAAGGGAAGAGAGAAATGAGAAAGGGGAGGAAGAGGAACAAAACAATGCCAATTCGCCATTCTAGCCCTGCTCTGGCCGTTGCACAGACAACTGGCTTGGCTGTGTTTTCTAAGGTCTCCTGAATGCAGTAAGCATGGAAAGAGGTGCTGTTCTGCTGTTGGAACCAGGAGGTGCCAGGCAGAGGAAAGTAGCAGTGGGAGGCTGGCAGAAAACTATCTCCAGGTTCTCTGATTCTCAGAGTCTCCACAGCCACCAACAGAGATGTTACCCTCATCCTCCGCCCTTCCACTCTACTCACCAGCTTCCCCGGCAGCAGAGCCGGTTTCCCATGGCGGAGAGTCTCCGAGTGAGCCCAGCTGTTTTTCTACATAAAGAGGCTTATGCATTTCCTGGTTCCTGGTTCAGCTTTCCGTAGCAGCTCCCAGGGAGTCTCTGTCAGTGTCAGATTTCAACCTAGCAGGTTGGAATTGGAAGCCACCTGCTGGAATAAATCCCAGGTGACTGTTCCCAGCCGAAGGGTAGAACAACACACACGAAGGGTAGAACACACATGGACTCCAGGTTGGAGTTATCTCACCTTTGGGATTTGAAGCTTCTTTTGATGAAGCCATCAAGCTTCAGTAAAAAGAAACCTGAGATAGAAAAGGGCTCTGGATTTCCCTAGGAAATGTTTCTCCACTACATCCCACTGTCTTTGAAATATATTCTCTATAATGCAATAAAGAGTTTTACCTAATGTTTGTCCAGCACCACTCAGATTTAATTGAGTTTCACTTTCAAGGCAATTGGTACCAGGTTTTTTTTTTTTTTAAAGATGACCGGTAAGGGGATCTTAACCCCTGACTTGGTGTTGTCAGCTTACCAGGTTTTTTTTTTTTTTTTTAAAGATGACCGGTAAGTGGATCTTAACCCCTGACTTGGTGTTGTCAGCACCACGCTCTCCCAAGGGCGCTAACCGGCCATCCCTATATGGGATCCAAACCCGTGGCCTTGGTGTTATCAGCACCGCACTCTCCCGAGTGAGCCACGGGCTGGACCCCTGGTACCAGTTTTTTTATTATCTCTGCCCAGAATCTGTTTTTATTTTTTTATTTTTTATTATTATTATTATTTTTTTGCCTTTTGATTTTTTTATTCCTTAGAAAAGCTTCATTTTTTAAATTTAGCTTTCTGACTCTGTGCTTGTGCCTTCAACACTTTCACAATGATTTTCTGCTCCTCAATAAGGAAAGCACGCTTGATCCTGTCACGCACACACTTAGCACACATGGAGCCACCATAGGCCCTGCTGACATGTTTTTTCGTTTTAGACAATCTCATAAGAACTTTAGGTCTCACAGCGCGAACCCCTCGGAGTCTGCCTGGACACACACCACATGCAGATTTTGGTGCTTTCCCAACCTTCTTGGTATAAAGGTAAACTATTCTATTTCCAGGGGTTTGGGACAGCCTAGTTTTGTTAGAGGCTGTATTGTAGGAAAGCCTACGACGTTATGTCAGACGCTGGACCATTCTGAGTGCCTCTAGACGCCGTCCAGGAAGAGGAAAAAAAAAAAAAAAACAGAATCAGTTTTTAAATACTGGAATTTCTTGGAATCTTAAATTGAGAGAGAGATTTCTTTTATATTTTCCCTTGCTATTGGAATTAATGTGGGTAAATCACTAACCTTTTAGGGCCTAGGTCTAGGAATATAAAATGGAAGAATTGGACTTATTATCTAATTCCCTTTCTGGTATAAAATCAGATAATTTTATGATTGGAATGGCATCAGCACTTTGTAACCACTCACTTCTCCATCCCCAGTTCAAAACTACAGAATCTCCACTTTCCCCTCAATTCAGCTTCTCCTTTCGGTGACCCAAAGTTAGACTCATTCCACACTTACCAGCACTAGGATGCAGCCGAGCAAAGTTCTCTGGAGAAAATACAGGCTCTAGGAGATGGTACCTGTAATTCTTGTCTTAGTGCTCTCACCCCATCTTCAGTGTCTTCCTGCTTATTTGTCTGCCCCTATGGGTGTTTAGGGCCCACCACTCAGCTCTGCACTCCACAGAGTAGCCTGGACTTTGGACTCCTCTCCATCTTCTTATGAAATGGGGATAAGCGTGACAACCTCATAGAAGTGTGGTGAAGACTAAGGGAGATGTATGTATATAAGCTCTAGTCCAGCGCCTGGCACATGGGAAGCCCTCAGTGAGTCTTAGCTATTGTTATTATCATTACTTCTTGTTCTCAGCTAATTATCAGATGGTGAAACATCATATTGTTTTGTGCCCTGATCATTGCACTATCTCATGGTCATGCTTCTCCCCTGCAATCCATTTTATACTCTATCATTAACTGTAACCTTTTCATCCTGTTACCCACCCACCCCCCAGCTCAAAAGCCATTAATAATTTCTTGTCTCCAATAAGATAGTGTTCAAACTTCTTAGGCTGGCACTCAAAGCTCTCAACAATCTGGTCCCTTTTCAGCCATATCTTTTTTAATTTAAGCAACTAAGAGATTTTTAGATGACCAAAAATTCCAAAGAACCAGTAGTGTATTGCCATAGCCAAAAACCTGATATGGCTTAAGCAGCATTAACAGATGTCTAGAGTAATTAACAAAGGTATTGATTATTCCACTGAAGTCTGTACCAGTCAATCCATGACTGGAATAATAATTTTAGGTGCAGATGTTGAATTTCAAGTTCCGTAGTCAAAAGGAAGCATGTTCAGAAGAAAGTTGTCTGGATGATAAGTAATATGAGAAGTGCTATAAAATACAGTTAAAAGAACTAGGCATGTTTAGCCAGGAAAGGGAAGCCTTAGGAAGACAGGATGATTATCTTCAAATATTTGAAGAACTTTCAAGTGAAAAAAGGACTGCACTAGTTGTCTGGACATAACCAGAACCAATGGACAGAAGTTACTGAAATTCAGACTTTGGTTCAACAGAAGGAAAAATTTGTAACAGTTATATCCAAAAAAAAAACAAAAAACAAAAACAAAAACAAAAAGGGTTCAGCTACTTTACAAAGTTCTAAGTTCTCTGTAATTCAAAAAGAAAAAGTTTATTAACAGCTTTAAAAGAATTTGAATTGTGTGGGGATTTGGACTAAATCAGAGATTTTCAAATTTTGTCTTGTAAGAAACCTTTTCTTTTAAATAAAGCTCAATTACAAAACATCAATGTGAAGCTGTTCTGGTTGAAGTCTGAATAAAATTTTCTTGTTCTTTTTCTTCTTCTTAACTAGACGTTAAGATTTCTGAGAGTAGACAAAAGACCATAGTTTTTACAATTTATATTTACAATGTAAATCCTCTATAGTGTATTACTTGGGATTTGGTAAATATTGGTTGAATGAATGAATAAACAATTGAATATATCAGTAGTTATTTCTCTGAGTTGTGCTTTCATTTTTAATAGAAGGCAATCCTTTAACCAAGAATCAAATACCTCAAGTGAGAGTAATTATCCTGGGGGTCCACAGATCCCTAAGAGGGGTAAATGAATGGATCTCAAGAGTTGTGTGAAACTATTCAAATTATATTGCCAAATTTGGGAGCATGTGTATTTTTCTGGTAAGAGGATCTATAGCTTTTGACAGATTTTCAAATGTGTCTGTAACCCCCAAAAGTTAAAAACAACCACTTTAATGGAAGAATTTCAGGTGTCCACTATGGCCTGGTAAAATACATATTTTGAGGTTGGGAGGTCTTCTAGACACTCTCCAAATCATACACATGCATGGTCTCTTGATTGCAGAGAATAATCAAAGGGACAGATCCTCAGGCTCTCCCAAACAGATCCTACCCCTAGTATTGAGACTTTACTTGTGAAAGAAGCTTCCTTGGCCATCACCACCACAATAATAGTCCTAGACCCCTGCATGAGCCTTGGAGTGGGTGGGGTGATGCATTGATTACTCTCTTTGGGATGTTCCAAAATCAGAGACAAATGCTTTCATGGGCCTCCCCTGTGCAGAAGATGGACAGACTGTGGGGTTCAGTGACAATGGTAGAAGTTCTCTGTGCCCCTGTGCATGCGTACTCAGTCCCTCAGAATCGGAAACCATTTCAGTGGACAGGCCTTAGTACGGGAAAACAAAAGTATTCACTCCAGGGCTTTAGTCAACTCTCTCCAGCCAAAAACCGTTTTCTCAACCTCTATCCAAAAAGGGCCAGACAGTCTGGAGACCCCTGTTATTGTGTCTCTAATCACCAGCTCAGACAGTGCCCTCTGGGCTGTTTGGATGGCATATCCCTTTTCCCTCCGAGGATCACTCTCTCTTTTGTTGCATTGTGAGAAAATTATGGCTAGGAATTTGATCTGGAGCCAGTGTCAGCTTCCTGGTATGATCTCAGCGGCCAAGTGTGAGCTCAGGGTGCTGTGACAAGGGACACATCTGAGGAGCTTTCTGTCTAGCTGGCTCTGACCTCCTCCCTCCCTGCTCATCCCATCCTTCGGGCCACAGAATAGGGAGCAGCACAAACAAGACCCTGAGATATGGGTTTATTCAGTCCCACTCAGAACTAAACCAAAGGCTATGACATGTCCCAAGGGACCAAAGCATACACTGTGGACCATGCACCTTTCTCTTCCCCCAGATGCTGCTACCTCTGGGGTGGTGGGTAGCTGCTGGTATCACTGCAGGAGGTAGAAAGGGATTAGCTGGGTGCTGGATCTGTGGCAATCAGGGCTCAACACTGGCTGCCTCCTCCTCTTCCTCTGGATCTGGAGGTGCAGAGAGCAGGGAGATGTAGACCTCATTGACCTCTGTGTCCAAATGTCGGCCACCCCGAGGCGCTTCCAGGTTAAGGATGCCATCATGGGAGAGAGCAGCTCGGACCCGCCAGGGGTCGACATCAGCAGGCAGGACGTAGGTGCGGCAGAACTCTCGGGACACGAAGCCGTGGCGGTCCAGGCGCTGGGGGTGGCGGGCAGACACCTCCAGCAGGTTGTCCACAGTCCTCACGGTCACCTCATCTGGAGTAAAGTGGCTCACATCCAGAAATGCCTGGAACTTGCCCTCACTGAGCCTAAGCTCAGAGGCCCCTGCCCTGCTCCCCTCCCCGGCTCGGGCTGCCCGGGGCCGGACATAGTAGCCGTGGTAGAGGGTGGGGGTCAGGATCTCTTCTGGCAGGAGGCCTGAGGGGCAGAGAGAGAAGGCAAGAGGCAGGATGAGGGAGGACAGGGTGGGCGCAGGGGTGACACGGGAGGAGATCAGGAGGTGAGGGACTGGAAAGAGCAGGAGGGGAGTCTGAGAAGTAGGGGAGGGGACACCGTGGCCGGGGGAGGAGGCGACAGCTGGGAGGAGGGTCCAGAAAGGGACTGAGGTGGCGGTGGAGGAGAGCACACCATGCTGGGACTGACTGGGTGGATAGAAGGGGGAGAAGAAGGAACAGCACGGCGGGCAGGGGCCAGGTATCAGGCCCCACACCGTGGCCGGGGGAGGAGGCGACAGCTGGGAAGAGGGTCCAGAAAGGGACTGAGGTGGCGGTGGAGGAGAGCACACCATGCTGGGACTGACTGGGTGGATAGAAGGGGGAGAAGAAGGCACAGCACGGCGGGCAGGGGCCAGGTATCAGGCCCCAAGTCTGTCCTGAGGTCAGTAGGAAGGGGGAAGAGCCCTGCTTGGAGGGCTGAGGGGGGAGTGTGGGGTGGGAGATGACTTGCCCCAGGAGTTCAGTTAAGCCCGAGTGGGGTGGAGGCCAGTAACGCTGGGAGGTCAGCCCAGAATCTCAGGAGGTGGGGATGGGAGGTGGTGTCTGTGCCATACCTTCTCCGAAGCGCTGCTCACCCAGGCGGCTCGGGTTGGCAAATTCGTACTCGGCAGTGGCCGGGTGGGCATGTGGCACCGAGCGGCCTGACATGGCTGCAGACGCGGCGGCCCTGGTCCGAGGTGCAGCCCCAACAGGCGCAGCGGGACCCTCCAGCTGCCGGAGAGCCAGGGCTCGGCTGGAGGTGGGGGCGGGGTCGACACCACCCAAAATAGTGCCGGGCCTCTAGGGGGAGGGCGGGGAGCGGGGGCCCTGCATGCGAGCGACGAGGGTGTGACCAGTGCCGCCAGGACCCCCAGTCCCCTCCCGCGCACACGCTTCAGCTGTCGCAGGGGGCCTGAGAGGACAGCTGGGGGCGTTGGGGAGGGGAGCTGGTGCTAGAGGGCAAAGAAAGGCCCAGCTGAGACCCTCACAAAATGGTTTTCACGTTTCCACACCACCTTTTCTGCCCCTCAGTCGCAGGCACTGTGCACCCTACTTCATAAAGCACTCCTGGATTTTAATGTTCCGTGAGCCACGTAGGATGAAAGACGCAAGAAACTTTTCTGCCCTTTTTGGGGGTGGGGGATCTTTCTGCCCAGATTAATGTTAGGGTCCTCTCCTGAACCCAGGTCAACCCAGGGCACCCCTCAGATGCCTGGTACTGACATGCTGATGGTCACTGCTCTCCTCCAGGGACCCACAAAGAGTTAATGTCCCTGGGGTCCAGCCTAGGAAGATTCCAGTCCCTGCTCGGGCCCAAGATAGTTGCTGGCCTGATTCCCCTGGCATGCAAGACTGGAGAGGAGGAGGGGCATGCCACTCGCCTGCTTGGAATTCCTGACTCTGTTCCAGCTCCAGAGAGCAGGGGATGGGGGTGGGTGCCATTGGGTGTGGACAGAAAGCTAGCGAAACAAGACCATGACAAGTCACTGGCCAGCTCAGACGCATTTGTGTTTCTCTTTTCTTAGCTCACTGAGTACTGGGTATGTGTCACACTGCCAAATCCCTGATCACAAGTCTCCATGAACTGGCAGTGAGCTGGGATAATAAAACCCCTGACATCACCATTCCAGAAGCTTCACAAGACTGCGTATATAAGGGGCTGGCTGTAGCTGCAGCTGAAGGAGCTGACCAGCCAGCTGACCCCCAACACTTACCTAGCCACCATGGACATCGCCATTCACCATCCCTGGATCCGCCGCCCCTTCTTTCCTTTCCACTCCCCCAGTCGCCTCTTTGACCAGTTCTTCGGAGAGCACCTGTTGGAGTCTGATCTCTTCCCAACTTCTAGTTCCCTGAGCCCCTTCTACTTTCGGCTGCCCTCATTTCTGCGGGCACCCAGCTGGATTGACACTGGGCTCTCAGAGGTGAGTCTCCCCTCTGCCAGCACAGGAGAGTCCTTCCTGGAACCTTCTGGGAACTTCTCCATCCGTTTTCCTTTCCTTCCCTGGCTATACCATTTTAGGCACGTGTGTCCAGAAATGAAGAAAAATTAGGTTACTAGTGCCTCCCTCCCCCAGTCACCTGTTTCTATTTGATGCTCCTCTGTATCCTATTTATTACATATTCCCTTGCACTGTGAAGATCATCCTCTGTCCCCAAACTTCTAAGCAGGATACCTCTTTCTGGTTTGGTTCATGAGGATCTGCAGGGAAAGAGCTGCCTTCAGACTCCTTTGCTCACCTCTTCTAATACTTCATACTCCTGACAAATTTTATCATCTCAAGTTTTACAGCCAGAAGAGAGTGCTACCTCTTGAGCTTTTCATCCCCCTGGTGGAGCTGGATACAACAACCACTATTTTCTTCCTTTCTGTTCCCTCTTCTATGATTTTCCGGGTTCCTTGGGGTTGTAATAGGGCACTGCACTAAGTCCAAGCCTTATGAGGAAAGAATGTAGGTCCAATTTTCCTAGGAACACTTGTCCTAAGAGGGTGGGAGAAAAGGGTGGACAGATAAGATTGACAAAAGTGGTCACAGATAACATTCTGGTTTAAAAATAATCAAGAGTGAGTAAACAGGAGCTGAGTGGGCAAGGGTTTTGGAAGGACAGGCAGGACCAGCAGAACATTCCAGATTGAGTGGGTGGGGAACTTGGCAGAGACCTGAGCAAGATGAAGGGGCCTTTGTTTCACGGACAAATGACAAAGCTAGGCACTGGAGTTGGAGAGGCAGCAGAAGCCATGCCCAGACCTATCCTTGTGATTGGTCCCTTGGGTGATCTGTCTTCTTCCCTGTGACTGTAAATAAAGTTTGGGCCTGATGATCAAGACACTTCTTGGGTATCTTGCCTTGGGTACCACTGTGGTGGCTCCCCTGAATCAGATAGCCATGTTTATTCAAAGAGGGATTTTTAGAAGAAAAGAGGTAAATTACCTGAACAGAAAGCAAGTCTACAGAATGATGAGATTGCAACAGCGTAATAAACATTCCTGCCATCTTTTCTCTTCCTTCCCTCACCTTGCTATTTCTAGATGCGCCTAGAGAAGGACAGATTCTCTGTCAACCTGGATGTGAAGCATTTCTCCCCAGAGGAACTCAAGGTCAAGGTGCTGGGAGACGTGATTGAGGTCCATGGCAAACATGAAGAGCGCCAGGTCTGTAGCATGTTTTTTCTTCTGCTTATCCATTCAGTGCATACTATATGCCAGGTACTGCCATCAGCCTGTGAGACTGGCAACAGTCCAGTCTCAAGCTGTAAGGGTATGGATCAAGGGTAACAATCAATGGCTAGAAGACTAAATTAGGGATAGAGCTCTTGTTGTTGTTGTTGTTGTTGTTTTGGCCAGAGAAGTGGCCTTTGTTGTTTGTTTTGATTTGACCATCAGCCTGTGAGACTGGCAACAGTCCAGTCTCAAGCTGTAAGGGTATGGATCAAGGGTTACAATCAATGGCTAGAAGACTAAATTAGGGATAGAGCTCTTGTTGTTGTTGTTGTTGTTGTTGTTTTGGCCAGAGAAGTGGCCTTTGTTGTTTGTTTTGATTTGATTGCCTTTGGTAGGATGTTCATTCTCCATTTAAGCCAGTGGTTTTCAACCTTGGCCACATTAGAGTCACCAGGGGAATTTTAAAAAATCCCAATGCTCAGGCATACCCCAGACCAGTTAAATCAGAATTTTAGGGCTGGGATCTAGGCACCAGCATTTTTTTTTTTTTGGCAGCTGGCCGGCAGTCATCAGCATTTTTAAAAACTCCCCTAGGTAATTCTAATATACAGCCAAGATTGAAGACCACTGATTTAGGCATAGTGTTGTCAGACACCTGATTGCTTTCCATAAGTACATTAACAACAGGTACCCTGAAGGCACTTGAGTTTGTGACTTTTCTTTCAGATGTTCAGGAATCCACTTCTCCTCTTTAGCCCATCTTAATGCTAAACTACTACTTTTGCCTACATTTCAGAGCTGTCCTGAGTTCTGAATCCTTTAAAGCCCATGTGGAAGTCAGTTAATTCAGAGTTTGTTTGGATAGATGCTTGAGATTCAGCAGCCATGAGCATTAGGGTCAACAACTCTTTTGGGAATTCTGATCAATAGAACAGCTCCTCATGCCTTTCTGAGAGGGCTTTATTTTTTTAATTTTTTAATTTTTTATTTTTTGTCCTTTTTGAGACCGGCCGCACCACGCTCAGCCAGTGAGCGCTGTGTCAATAGAACAGCTCCTCATGCCTTTCTGAGAGGGCTTTATTTTTTTAATTTTTTAATTTTTTATTTTTTGTCTTTTTTGAGACCGGCCGCACCACGCTCAGCCAGTGAGCGCTGTGAGCATACCGGTCATCCCTATATAGGATCCGAACCCGTGGCGGGAGCACTGCTGCGCTCCCAGCGCTGCACTCTCCCGAGTGCGCCACAGGCTCGGCCCTGAGAGGGCTTTAAAATTGCTTCTCACTAATTAGTGATAACTCAGAATGTGTATATCAGCTAATACAATTAAATGTCCTCTCCCTGTTTCAGTTTTGCTCATATGACTTAAGTTTGGGTCATAGTCTTCCTGGATGGAGTCACTTTTTTTTCTTAAAGCAGCAGTTCTATTGGTCTGGAACATTCTGGAACATTCCTGAAGAGTCAGGATAATTTCTGGGCTTCCTGAGGAACTCAGATCCTCAATGCCAGGATGAGATTCCAAATCCTGTAGGCCCAGTCAACATTGATCTACACCTTTGGGAAATATGCTTAAACGTACCTGTGCCTCAGGGTTTGAGGAACTATGAAGTTTTGGTCTGTTTTAGACTTCTCAGACTCTCACTGGTAGGAGTGACCATGTAGGCAACTTCATCTTAGCCCCAAACCTGCTATGAACAGCTATTTATCTTTCCCTCATGTTGTCATGGCGTTTGGTCTCACTTAAGGGGTTTGGAATTGTCTGAGTTCTGGGAAAGTGGTATTATATCCTGTTCTTATCTCTCTGCCTCTTTCTTCGTTTTCTTGGATTAGGATGAACATGGTTTCATCTCCAGGGAGTTCCACAGGAAATACCGGGTCCCAGCTGATGTGGATCCTCTTGCCATTACTTCGTCCCTGTCATCTGATGGGGTCCTCACTGTGAATGGACCAAGGAAACAGGCCCCTGGCTCTGAGCGCACCATTCCCATCATCCGTGAAGAGAAACCTGCTGTCACTGCAGCCCCCAAGAAGTAGATGCCCTTTCTCTAATTGCATTTTTTAAAACAAGAAAGTTTCCCCACCAGTGAATGAAAATCTTTTGACTAGTGCTGAAGCTTATTAATGCTAAGGGCAGGCCCAAATTATTAAGCTAATAAAATATCATTCAGCAACAGATAACTGTGTTGTGTTTGAATATTCAGAATGTTTTTAAATATTCATTGGTATACAAATACAACAGAGATACTTAATCACTGCATTACTATTTATGGGACTCCAGCGATTTTAGAGTCAGAATGACTGGCCCCACCACTTACTAATGGTATAAATTTAGGCAAGTTGCTTCCATTTATAACATGAGGTACTGATTTGTACAGAGTTGTTGTAAGGAGTAAATAAAGAAAAAAAAGTAGGTAAAGTCCCTGGCAGAGTTCAAAGAATATCTTCCATTTTCTCCTCCTTCTTTATTTTAGCCCTCAGTTTCAACAACTGGAACAAAACCAAATAAACTCAAATAAATATCACATCAAAGACCTTAGTGTATCTCGGAAATTAATTATACCACCAAGGAAGACATAGTGACCCCAATGTTATTT